GAAACCATCCCTCCCCCCTCGACATTCGATGCTGAACAAATCGCTAATCGAAGGTCCGGAAGAAAAGCAGCCAATCACAACCACGCACAATTACCCCTTTGCCAAAATCCCTCACAATGAACGACGAAAATTCGCGTCCTCTAAAACCCCTTGATAAAATCCAATACCATCCTCACATATTATTCTGGGGCGGCGTCCTAACCCTATCCATAGATCTCCACCCCACCCCCCTCCAAATCCCCTCCCTGATGAGAAATCTCGCCAACATTCTCCCCGACTACGCGCCCTGGGCTCACCACATCAAAATTTCTATTCTCCCTCCTCCTCCCCAAAAAGATCCCGACTCATGGTCCATAAAGCCTTCTCAGTCCCACATCTCCGATTTCAAAACTATCATCAACACCTTAAACAACTTCGATAAAGTAAAAGAGCTTCACATGACTATATTACTTAAACCCCAGGAATCGAAATGCGAGGATCTGTATTTTTTGGGTGGATTGTTCGGATTGGAGAGAATTAAATGGAGTTTGGCGTTTTCGGTTGAGGGACATGGAAAGTGGGAGGTTGATGCTGAGTGTTGTTTTATGAGGGAGTTGTTGGAAGTTTATTCGAGGCGGTTTTCCGGGTCGGGAGGATTGGAGATGATTGTGGAGTAAGGGTAATGGGGTCATGGGGGACTACCAGATATAAGTATGGGGCAGTAGAAAAGGACGAGGATGCTTTTGTTTGGTTCTGCGATGTCTTTCTTTGTGCTATCTTGGTTAGTAAGTTTAAGAAAGAATTGGACTAGAAACATGCGTTTTTGTAATCTACAATACTTACCTACAATCAATCATACTATATCTCACACCTTACTATCTATTTGTGATCTTCAGTCTCTTGAGAATATGTTGTATTGTCGCTAAATGAACGAGTCGGCATATATATTCTCTCCACGCTCTCGCTCTCGAGTCTCCACAAGTTTATACACTTCAAAGGGGAGATACAGAGAAAGTATACATTCACATCACAGTATACTAATAAGACAGACTGGTTCGTATTTCTGTATCTTTAGCTTTCCAATCCCATTCACTTTATAATTAAGGGGGATATAGCCCGAGATATGTATGTTGGGTTTTAATTTTCACTTTTTGGTATTCAAGAACAATGAAGATTGATATAACCTTATATCATGATGTAAGTATATTCATTGGGAGTAGATTCCTAAACTCCATGTCTTGTTCAGAGGTTTATCATATATAAGTGATATATAATATATACGCGAGTGGTGACTCAGATTTAATATTGTCCTTTTTTGAATATTGATTTCAACTTGATTATTTATTTATAATGATAGAGGACCTGTATATATAGGCCTTTCAGGACTATCTAGAACCTTCTGTTTTATCTCTTGTATTTCTAATCAATGTCGTCGTCGCTACAAGACTAGAATCTTCTATAAGCCTCTGTCGATCCTGATTACCCCTCATTCCTAGTAACCTTAAATACAAGGCATTAAGGTTCAACACCATGCTATAAAGGTACATCCATATTTCAATGACACAAAGCCATAAATACCGCTATGCACAAATGAATATCCGCTAACTTCCCAGTAGCCCCATGTTTCCCTAAGAACCAGCACAAAAGATCAAGAATGAGGATCACATCTCCTAACAATCCCACCTTACAACACTATCTTCCCTCTCACCATCAATTCTCCACACCACCCAAACACATCCACTCCTCACAAAAACTCCTTTCTCCAAACCCCATTCAATCTTCTCATCGTATCATCCTCCTGCTCCACCTTGACTGGTCCCCCCCCCTTAACCACATACTGCAAAATGCGCTGAACATCCTGTCTCAAACCAAACATCGCAGCCGCCAACTTCATCTGCGGGAAACTGCAATAATCAATCAACATCCTAACTCTCACTTGCTCCAACTTCTTAAACTTATTCACTACCCCAACAATTGATTTCACATCCGCAACATGAGAAATATAGACGCTGGGAGGTTCCATGTGGGGAATTCCAGCATGGATGCTGAGTTGCAGGATCTTGACATAGGGTGCGTAGTCGGGGAGGATGGAGAGGAGAGATTCCATCGAGGTGGATTTTTCGATCGGGCTGCCGGGTGCGCAGTAGTCGATTGTGAGAGTGAGAATGTTGCCTGTGAGGACAATGTTGGGGTGGGTTGTGATCTCGGAAGGGTGTTTGGGGATGAATTCACCGGGGGCGGCTGGGGCGGCACGTCTGTTTTTGGATCCCATGATTACTGAGTGGATATGTTTGATTTGATATGTGTATTGGTAAAGAAGTGTTGAGTGTATATTTCTTTGGTCGAAGTATAGAAGATAACTCTGAAGGTTCAAAGATCTTACAGAGAGTTCTCTATCGTTTGACTTATTGAATGGGATCCGTTGCTGAGATTGAGATTGAGATTGTAATCTTGAAGTGAAGAAGATAAAGTAACGAGAATAGAAGAAGCAAATTAGGGCAGTGTTCCAGCTCCCTTATATACCAAACGAATGCATTTCCAATACAACAACCCCCTTGAGCGAGATTACCGTAACTAACGATGTCTCTCAAGTGTAGCCGTACAGTAGCCGTACAGTAGGTATTTACACATATGGATTCACTAAGAATGAGGCCCCCGGCTTCGTAAGATACCTACATACCGTTCTTGATCCTTGCATAGATTGAAGCGCATGAACATTGAAATCAACACTTGTATGTGATGTTCGATATTTGTGGTCCAAGACAATCTTCTAGGCTCTGCTAGCCATGATTGGCGGAGGGCCTCAGGATCTCGATTTTTTGTCTATTCGTAGATCTTTTAATATCACGGTCGATAGACATAGCCTATATCTGACTCAAGGATCATTAGGAGATATTGAAGGTTGATGGTATGAGTTCGAAATTCAATTAGAGAAATCCTTCTTACCAATCATAGATTTCTAGCCCAATGAATTACCTCCCAACTTGACAAAAAACATAATCAACTCCAATCCATTCAACCCTCTTGAAAGTAAACATCTCCTTATTCAATCTGTAGCAAGTTACTATGTAAAATCTCAAAGATGTTCTCGGAATTGCTAAAAACGTGTTGTTCGAGTAGACTTATTGGTTGTTCTCAGAGTTCATATACCTCACCGTTGCATCTTGATTTCATCCATTCCACACTTTGAACAAACAAGGGCTTTCCCTCTCCCTTCAAAACACATCGCACAAGTTCAACAAGCAAAATCCATCCTCATCATTCCCATCTCAGAAATCCTTCCCATCCAGCCACCAAACTACAACTATGCAGACCTGGTAGAAAAAACTCATTCAATCCCATCCCACACTCCCAGCCTTAAGCCATAAACCATAAACCACAAACCCCAAGAACCATAGATTCTTAATTCACCGCCCCCACACTCTTTATGTTCCAATCGAATCTCTTTCAAAATATCAAGTATTTCATTACTTGATTGATTGATTGATTGATTGATTGAATTTACGTCCACCTTCAGTCTAAGACTATATAGGACGACTAGGCCTTAAGGGCCTAGTAGATAACTTTTTATTTTACAATAATAGGAATAAACAATTTGGGGAAGTGCAAACGAACATTGGGGACCTAAGCCCACTTACTATACGTATAACATATAGTAAGACTATTTCATTACTTCTTTCCCATAGAACTCATACACAGAGATAGATCCCTTCCATTCCGATAAAGTATTGCAGATCCCAATCAGTGTAGAAAAAAGTCGGGAGGCCCTCCAAATGCAGGTTTCACATTTCGCATTTTTGATTTAAAATTCATGATTTCAGAGCATACCCAAACCGGTGAAGAGTCATCGCCGAAGTATGATAACCTTAATTTTCATGGCACAGAATTATATATGATATAAATTATAAAGATAAATTTAACCAAAATCTCATTCTCGAATTCTGAATCAAGAGTTGACGTTCCCTTCTCCCACCCCACTCCGCTTCCGCCAACTCCCCCCTAGCACCAAAATAATCCCCACCAATTCCAATTTCACTAGCGCTACTCAAATTTTTTGCAGATCCACACATATGAAAAAATTTCCTTCTTATTCCTCACTTCTGAGATTTGGAAATCATCCATCTTACCAAAAAGTCATAAATAAAAGTGTATCAGAGGAATCAAATTCCTTCAAAAATGCAAAAAGTTAATGATGAGAGTGGGATTCGAACCCACGCCTATTACTAGACCAGGAGATTGTAAACAACCGTTTGTTAAGAGTTAATCACCTTAACCTGGCGCCTTAGACCAACTCGGCCATCTCACCTATTGCTGATTTGATGGAGAAAGGAGTACGGGGAGGGGATATTAAGAAGAGATGTGGGGGCTGAGAGTTCATTTAAGTACTTAGGTCTTCAGACGACTCTGTTCCACGGCGACTATTCCATGGGATGTTGAGCACTGGAAGCATTTTATACTTCACTGAAGTATGGACCTTGCCGTCGGTGTTGTGATAGAGATGATTTGGTCATTAAGACATACAAGACTCAGCTCAAGCACCCACATATAACTAATGAGTTGCTATTTGCATAAGAGTTGGGCTGTCTATCACATTGCGGTCTATCACATATGAAGTCTTGCCGCTTGCATTGACCTCAACATAAGTCACTTAAACATTGATCACAAATGAGAGCCTTGGGATTTGGGGGAAGGGGGGCTGCTCGGGAATCTTTTGGGGGAATAGTAGATATGTGTTACTGATATGCACTTGTTACAATCAATTTATAGTCTTGTTATTGCCATCGAACGTCCCAACTATGAGGTCAAGCTGACAAAACAGCAAATGAAGGGTGATGAAAAGCGAAACAATCACAATCATGACTACCAAGGATGCACCGGACTTCATTTTTATCACGGAAAGGGCTCTTAAAACTTTTGAGAAGATAGTATCATTGATCTAGGAAACAATTTTCTGGGGAAGTCGATGCTTTGGGGGACGACGTACATAACCAAGAATTCCCAAGCACTAAATATTTCATTTCTTATTCCAATTCGACCCTACCTGCTACCAATTTACTCCAATCATCATCTACTCCACGCTCAACATTAGGGATAGGACCCATCGGTGTGATGGCCTTTGGATTGATGTCCGCATGACTCTTCGTGTACTAATTAGTGTCAGTCTCTGATCATCCAAAATATACGAGATCCTCACATTTTCCTTGATATGTTTGAAATCCGTAGATTCCTTAAACCCCTTTACTTCCCAATACAAATGTTTCAACCAAGCATTTAATACTGGATAATCGTGCCGAATTGTTCCAAGGTTACACTTGAAATGTTGCACATACACGGCATCGAAGCGACAAATTGTTGGATACAACCTCAAATCCAATTCTGTCATTTCTGAGCCCAAAACATATGGACCTCCATTCTTTTTGATGATTTCCTCCATTCGATTAAGAGCTTTGAAAAGTGGCACAACATTTTTGTCATAAGTTTCTTGGTTTGGTGCAAACCCAGCCTTATATACTCCGGTATTGATTTCGTTTTGCATCCATTCTCCCATTTCATCGATTTCGGCGGCCAAATTCTCGGGATAGAAATTCAGATTCTTATATTCATCATCCAATATGCTGTCAAATCCTGTATTCAGATTCCGCAGGATCTCCAAGCTTTCGTTGCAAACGATTTGATTTGTCTTCTTATCCCACAGAACGGGCACGGAGAATTTCCCTTTGTAATCTTTTTGAGACCGGAAGTATACCTGGTGGAGATATTTGGAATGAAAGAGATGATCTCCAGTTGCGCCAGGGTAAGGATCGGTTTCTGTTGCGAATTTCCAGCCGGGCCATCCTTTATCGTCACCCTTTGGATAAGGTTTGACGACGGATATAGGGAGAATGGAAGTGAGACCTTTGAGATGTCGAATGAGGTTTACTCGATGGGCAAATGGACAGAAAAGTCCTATTGAAGAACCTGTCAGACAGATCCGCAGATGAAGAGGGGCCGAGGAATGATTTACCAATGTATAAATGGTATCGATCCGTTTCGGGAGGGAACTCCCCTCCTACTTCAATTCGGCCATGCCAATTACCATCTTTTGGTGCCGATTGCAGTCTTGCAGTTGAAGACATTTCGCAATCAATGAAACACTGTTTGTTAATAAGATATCAAATGTTTCGCAGAAACGCTACTGTTATTTCAAATGTGAATTCAAATAGAGTTGATTTGCCGTCCTTTCACATATAATAACATGTTGGAGAACATATCACCACTGCGGGGTTTCTAGGTGCATGAATGCATCCATATCTCTCTTACCTTCTTGTCCCAAAAGGACTAGACGATTAAAGAAGTACCAGTACACCATGTAGGTATCCAACGATGTAGGTATTCTTTGCTCTCCCACGACAGATAGCAAATATTGTCCAATCAATGTCCAATGTCAATGTCGATATCAACCACTCATGCCATTGACACAATGATAATCGTGCAACGCTCACAAGGTACTGCGGCCTGATTGGTTTATTTTCAAGATTTATGGAGCAGATCGGATGATAGTACGCAATCACGTGATGCTTCACCGGAGAGTCGGGATGTCGGAGGGAGACAGTTACAACTTAAGTCCGTCCGTGGGAAAGATTGAAGGATTCATGTATATTTTCAACAAGCCACATCATGCAAGTAATCAATACTAATCATCAAGTAAATTCATAACCCACATCGCATTACACTCATCAAATCATCATTTATACCGCCCTCTCCTTTTATTTCGCAAATCTCACCTGCGGCAAATTCGGGTCATCAACACGGGTGCCTAACTTCACACCGCCTCCATATAAAATCACACCCAAGGCCTCAAATCTCCAGACATCTGCAAACATCTGCAAACACTCCCTGATGAAGACTGAATTCTATCATCAAATCTAGGTGGATTGACGGATGGGTTCTTATATTAATGAGCTGTCTAATGCGGCTCCTATACTCATTGGACTGTTCACAATCCCAACTGCATGGCGATTCATTAGGAACTTCAAATCGCCAAGAGTGGCCAATCATGAAGTCCTCTACGAAGACAAAGATGGGGTGGCTACGGAAGAATCCATGGCAAAGTATTCCACTAAACGTCAATTCGTGATCATCTTCACTTCTCTCATTGTGGGACTTTTGGCTTCGTTTGGATTGGCTGTTTTTGCCACAGTCGTGAAGAGCGAGTTTTCGCATTGGGCTTTTACGCATATTTGGCTATTGTTCGTATCTTGGGTAAGCTTAAAATGTTGTAGGATCACATGTCAAGCCTTTTGCTAATAAATGCTAGATTTTTGCATTCGTTCAAGTATTGGAAACTTCAAGAGAGACTCATCCTGTATTGAAATTCCAGAAAGGAATATTCAATTCTGTATCATGCGCTTTAGTGGCTGTTCTCACATGTCTCGTGCTATCGGCCCATCCTCCAACTCCTGGCCGTGTCCGCCTCGCGTGGTTCATTCTCACAGCCTTACAAGTTATTGCTGCTGTACTCAGTACTGTGACATTCTTTTTCGTCGAGCGCCGTCCTGATGTTTTTACCCCTGATGGAAAGGTTGTGGAGAGACAATTCAAGAAATCTTTATGGAATAGATATGCCTTCGATTGGAGTTCCGAGCTCCTTGATATCGCATCGGAAAAATTGATTGAAATATCAGATCTCCCTGCTATGGATGGGCATGTTCGTTCCAAAGATGTCAGAGAATACTTCAAATCCATAATATTGAAGCCAACGGTTCCATTGTGGCTTCAAATTTTCTGGGCGTATCGTAAACCCATACTTACTCAATGGGGGTTGGTCATGATTTCATCTGTTATTGATGCCGCGCCGCAGTTTGCTGTTTTGAAATTACTACAGTATCTCGAGGCTCGTCAAGGGTTTGATGTGATTGATCCCCAAGCATGGATCTGGGTGTTTGGTCTTTTCGCCGCTACAATTGCTGAGACACTAATGGACAACCGAATCAATTGGTTGATGTGGTCCGATCTTGCAATTCCCATTAGATCAACGCTCACATCCCTTATCTTTGAGAAGATGATGAAGATGAAAGACTGCAAGGAACCTCCAAAGCCGGAGGATAACGATGAAGCAAAGGATAAAGGAAAAGCTTCACCCAAAATTGATGACGCCTCAAAAACCAATGGAAATGCTAACTCTAACGGTACTCCAAATCCGGATGCATCGAATGGCCATGGGCCTCATGCACCAGCAGCGAAGAAAGGAAAAGATGCGGACACGAAAAAAAAGCTCGAAACCGATAAAGATATTGTCAACATGTTTGCCGTGGATGCAAATCAAGTTGGTAACTTTGGCGCTGTCAATCAATTCTACATCTTGTTCTTCTGCAAATTCGTTGTTTCGGTTGTTTTCCTGTGGCTCTTGGTTGGTTGGGAGTCGATGGCTGCTGGGTAAGTTCTGCTTCCTTTCACATATATACCTATTCCTCGTTCTCACACTCTACGTTCTGCATTTTCAACCCCCCCCTCGTAAATTATAAGTCTTGGCCCTCATAAGTTGCTTTCCTCCGAATTCTATTTCTGATAGACAATTGCTGATTTTTTTATACCTCAACAGTATGCTAGCAATCATAGGCATGGCACCAATTAATCAAGCTCTTGCAAAGAGATATGGAGGCTTTCAGAGAGAATTAATGAAGGCTCGAGATAAGAAGACTACTATAGTCACTGAGGCACTCAATGGTATTCGACAGATTAAATTTTCAGCCAATGAAACTCAATGGGGTGAGAAGATCTTCGAAGCTCGTGAAGAAGAAATTGTTAAACTCTGGAAAACCAAGATCAACAATTTATACATGATGGTTGGGTCAAATGTTGCCCCCGTGCTTCTAACAGTCTTGGCTCTTGCTACGTACTCTTATATTCACGGAGATTTACTCCCATCGGTTGCATTTACAGCATTGGTATGTTATATATTTTCTTTTTTCGCAGTTTGCATCCCTCAAAATCTTCACATGCCGAGAGGCATAGCACATTTGATGTTACTTCATCGTAATATTAATTGCCTCGCACGAACATGTGGAATTATTTGGCTGACTCAAGAGATAGGGTGTGTTCATGCAACTTGAAGGTGTTCTAGGAATGGTCCCTTTTCTCTTCATGATGGGAGCCAACGCCAAAGTCAGTTGCGATCGAATCGATTCTTTCCTCCGATCTCCAGAGAAGCCAGAGAATACCTATCCCGGAGATTCCATTACTTTCGAGAATGTCTCAGTCAGCTTTCCATCGAAATCCAAGATCTCAGAAGAAGAAGACCGATTTGTACTCAGAGACCTTAATCTTCAGTTCCCCAATAATGCTCTGAGTGTTATTTCAGGCCCTACTGGCTCCGGAAAATCTCTTCTTCTCTCCGCTATATTGGGTGAGGTTGAGGTCCTATCTGGTAATATTACTGTACCCCGACCACCTCAGGCATCTGAGCGACATGATAGCAAAGCCACAGCTGCAGATTGGGTCTTACCTTCCGCTATAGCATTTGTTTCCCAGACCCCATGGATAGAAAATGCTAGCATCAAAGACAATATTCTTTTCGGTCTGCCTTTCGACTCTATTCGATACCAAAAAGTACTCGATGCATGCGCTCTCACGAAAGATCTCCACATGTTTGATGATGGTGACTTGACTGAAGTTGGTGCCCAAGGTATAAGCTTGAGTGGCGGTCAAAAGTGGCGTTTGACTCTAGCAAGAGCTTTCTACTCTCGCGCCGGAATATTGATACTTGATGATGTTTTCTCGGCACTCGACGCACATGTTGGGAAAGAAATCTACGACAACGCTCTTATGGGCGAGTTATCGATTGGCAGGACAAGAATTTTAGTAACACATCATGTCTCACTTTGTCTTCCACGGGCAAGCTATGCTGTTCAGTTATCGAAGAATGGAGGCCTCGAGCATGCAGGTTCAATTGATGAGCTCAGGAAGACTGGTAACTTTGATGACATTATAAAAGCGGAGCAAGACGTGGAAGCAGCTGTTGAGGAGGTGGATGCTTCTGAGGCAAATGTTGACAAGCCTTCCGATAAACCAGCCACCAAACCTAAAAAGTTGATTGAAGATGAGAAACGGGAAACAGGAAGTGTCAAGGCAAGCGTGTATACTAAGTATCTCATGGCAACTGGTGGCATACCCTTCTGGGGATTGGTTCTCATTTTCTATTTGGTCGCTGAAGCTTTAGTGATTGGAAGATCTTGGTGGATCAAGATATGGACATCTTCCTATGAACATTCTGAGATGAACTTTTCCAGTTTCAATTCTACTCATCTGCCTTATATCACCAGCATGCAACAACAGCTTTCACCATCAGTATTCGTCTCGAAGATCAACAATCCATTTTCTAAAGACCACACACTAGGCTACTATCTGGTGGGCTATGTCCTCATCTCGACTGTTTCCGTTTTCGTTGCCACTGCTAGATATTACTTCATTTATCGAGGATCTCTATCTGCCTCAAGAAACGTTTTCAAAGAGATGACAAATATCGTTCTTCGTACTCCCTTAAGATGGTTGGATACTGTTCCTACAGGAAGAATCTTGAATCGTTTCACTGCAGATTTCTCTGCCATGGATTCTCAACTCTCCACGAATTTCGCTCAAACTGCATCTGCATTCTTGGAGATTGTCGGAATTATGGTATCTGCGTAAGTTGTTTTGTTCACGACTCAATAATAGTCGCGCTAATATTTCTCTAGTTTCTTTGTCTCGCCATATATAATCATTATTGCATTGGTTCTATTGGGTATTTGCACTTATATTGCACTCCTTTATATCAAAGGTGCACGCTCTCTTAAGCGTCTTGAATCAATCCAAAAGTCACCTATGATTTCACACTTTGGGTCAGCCCTTGCGGGTCTCAGCACCATCCGTGCATTTTCAAACGCACCTGTCTTCGAATCCAGGATGCATGAGTTGGTAGATTCGTTTTCTGCCGCCACTTGGCACAATTGGCTCTTCAATCGATGGTTCGGACTACGTATGGCATTAGTGGGATCATTCTTCTCATCGTCTGTGGCCGCATTTATTGTCTCCACTCATGGTGTTGATGCTTCATTGGCCGGATTTGCTCTCTCATTTGCGTTAAGTTATAGACGAGCCG